TTCTTGATTTGTGTTTGAGAGATAGATTCAAGTGATTAATCTTTTTTTTTCTTCACATTGTTTAAAAAAATAAAATGGTTAAAAGAATTGTTTCTGAAAATGTGGTGAAGAAAAATAGTCAAGTTTTGTTTATTATATACTACAAAAAAAATCTATAAATTCTTTCAAACATTTTTTATTTGTCATTATGTTATTTTTAACTTTTTTTGTTTCATGATCTCAGATCTGATCCATGCCTTCTCTGACTTACCAAGAGATCTAAATTTTGTACAACACACTAGCCACATGGGGTGGAAGCTGTAAGTATTTTTTTTTAATCTAAATTTTAAATGGTAGAGAACAACACAAATAACTATCACTTATTCGCGAGTTTCACATTCAAACTATCCCTTGTTCGATAGTGATAATGTAGGAAAAGAGTACAACACTGGTTTAATACATAGACGATGATAATTCAGGTAGAAGCGTGGAACAATTGATAGTTGAGTTGTGAAATGACTAGTGAATAAGTTTGTGTTTTTGATCATTTAACTTATTTTTAATTGTTTATTTATGAAATTCCATAGTACTTATCAATCAAAAAAACTTTCTTAATTTACATTTAGGAATAAGAGAGGAAAGCCAGTTATTATAGATCCTGGTCTTCATTCTCTAAACAAATCAGAGATTTGGTGGGTTATCAAGCAAAGAAGTCTTCCAACTGCTTTCAAGCTTTATACAGGTTATTATTTTCCTTTATCTTCTAATGTTTAATTTATTATTTGTGGCTCCAAAAATTCTAAGAGGTTTTTATAATATAAAGTATAAAAAGTGAAAGGTACATTACATGTGAGATGTGACTCTTGAAGAGAGCAAAAGACCACAAAAAGAGGGAGTAAAGTACTTTTACTTTTATTTAACACCTATATCACCTAGATGAGGAGCAATTTGTTCTCCTAAGACTATCTATTGGGTTGCTCGGATCCGTCAAAAATGTTGTTGTACCCACATGCGTTGAATCTTTAAAAAATGCATACATATTGGGTCCCTCCAAAAATATTGTTGCATCCACCTGTGTCGAGTCCTCCAAAAATGAATGGTGACACCCAATACAATCATACTCGGACCCTCGAAATTGTTGCCACACAAACCCGTCTCAGATCCTCAAAAAATGCATAGTTTTTTAAGGATCCGACACGCACCTCAATGAGGAAAAGCTTAACACAAAAGGGTAAATAGTTGGATGATGGACTAATGGTTACTGCCTTACTGGTTTTCTTATATGGACTTGACAAATCCTCCCCTCAACAACTAGTTTTTAGAGTTGAGTTAGGCTCAATGTCTATATATTGTCATGGTATCAGTGTAAGACTCATCCTAATTATCATTTCCGATGTTGAACCCCCCCTATCAAATTGCTTACGCTCCATATATCCAGCCTTGGGCGTAAGGGGATCAAGAGTCTTACATCGGTTCTTTACGGGATGAGTGGTAGTATCAAAAGATAATTAAAAAAATAGTTTGAGCTACATTATCAAGAAAATGCACATGTTAATGACATTAACACATGCTTTTGCACTTGGTTTAAGGGACATATAGTTCAAGTGAGAATTTCTACATCGATTAGATGGAATCTTGATTCTGCTGTTTTTTGAATTTTTGTGTGTATAATCATCATATTCTAATATAAACGTCAAAATAAAAAAATCACATTATGCTTTTTTTTGTCACAACCAAAATAAAGGGAGGAAAACTTGTAATCATAAGTAGCCCACATAAATTCTCCTTTCTTTAGGAAGACACAATTTTCGAAGTTAAAAGAATTTCTCGACCAGAAAATATGAAATTAGCTATAATTTTCTTTTTTAGTTTCCTACTCAATATTCAAAATAGTCTCGATTAAATTAGATCGCAAGATTTTTTTATATCTAAACTCGATCCTAAAACCTCTATTTAAGGATGCAACCGTCACCACACAACATGTTGGTGCTATTTTCTTAATGGTGCAATATATTTAAAAGGTAATTATAGACTACTTGGTGTGTACTCTCTATATGTTAATGATGAATTTAGTGACCCTTTTTCCACTCAATATTTGAAAGAAGAACAAAAAATATCATCATTTATTACAAAGTAAATATATTATGTCAAAATAAATATTACGATATCGTTATATTATAATGAAAATAATTTTTAATAATTATAAACATACACATTGATTACTATCAACAATATTGATAGTAATGAAATTAACCCAGTGTTTAGTAAAGTATACTCTCTTCATTAGTTAGTATTGAAATTAGTAATTAATTAATATTTAATTATTTTAATTATAAATCTCCCAATAATTAATAAGGATATAATGAAAAAACTATATTTAAATTATGTCTAATCTACTTTTCTCAGTGAAACACCTCAAAAATCCAATTAATATGAAATAGAAGGAGTAGTTCAAAGTTGAATTAATAAAATTATTACTTATAATTTACCCTGGCTTTGCTAAATCATATGGAAAAGTTAGCTAGTATATATTACTAAAAGCATGAACAAAAAAAGTTAAAAGTTGAATTACGGTTTTGCCCTTTTTATAAATTAAATTATTATTAAATATTTAAATATTTGATTTTTATAAATTTAATTAAAATATTAATGACTTTTAGACTTCTTAATATTAATTTCTAATTAAATATCTAATTAGTTAATATTTATCATCTATAATCTATATGTATATAATAATTATAATTTTTTTTTAAAATGGTCTCTACCTAAATTGCTATATTTTTCCTCTTCTCATAATTTTTTCCTTAACCCCTCTCATGAATAATATAATTTATGCGGATAAAGTATTATCCTTAATGATAAATAACAAAATTTAATAATTTAAAGGGTGCAAATCTGCAAAATGGAAACACACATTGATACTGTCCTCTTGACTATTATTAAGGAATGACTCTATCTTCACAAATTTATATTCATTAACACTTAATTACGTGATAAGAACTTAAATTGTTCTTTCTACATGGTTTGCTAATTTTAATTTTCTTCATTTATTTATTATTATTTGTTAATTACTTATTCAATTTTTGTAATCTTAATATTCATAACTCTCATTAATAACCTCCAAATATTTAAACTAAAACTTTAAGATTTCTTTTGATATTCCTTTTATTTTATCTATATAAATTCAACTTCTTTATCTCATGAAACTCCTACCAAGATTATTAGACTATCATTTTTATTCTATAGTTAAAGTAGATGCAGAAGTCTCTTGAATTTTGATAGGATATGGAAGGAGTCGATAAGAACTCAGAGAGTTATGTACTAATTTTGTACTTATTTTTTCATCTATACATACACCAAGTCTTATAAGAATAATATCTACATTATATTTTTTTTAAATCTGTTTCTTTTTGTTTTTTTTTTCTCCATTCGACTTCTTAATTTAGTTTTCTACGTATCTATAAAAATTCACATGGAACACACGTGCGAAGCACGTCCTCAGAAACCAGTATAATATAAGACTCAAGATTTGCTTTCAATATGACTTGTTGAAATTTGTTTACAATATATGAATGTCTTTACTGTTTTCATATGACTTCTATATACTGTATTTGCTTCACATACTTGATTTTTAATTTGTTTTACTCGAGCTGAGGGTCTTGTTGAAATTTGTTAACTACAAACACAAAATACAGGTTCAGCTTGGACAATATTGTCGAGATCATTTGCTGAATACTGCATAATAGGCTGGGAAAATCTTCCTCGAACTCTACTTCTCTACTACACGAATTTTGTGTCGTCTCCAGAGGGTTATTTCCAAACAGTCATATGCAACTCTGAGGAATACAGGAACACCACAGTGAACCATGATCTTCACTACATTACATGGGACATCCCTCCGAAACAACATCCAAGGTCCCTCGGTCCGAAGGATTACAGGAGAATGGTTTTAAGCAACAGGCCATTTGCTCGGAAGTTCAAGAACAACAACCTTGTACTTAATAAAATTGATCGCGATCTTCTCAGAAGACGAAATGGACAGTACTTCTCAGCTGGAGGATGGTGCTCCAATGACGATGATCGAGGTTGTTTGAATCTACAGGTTGAGAAGTATGGCGTTTTAAAGCCTGGAATGGGTGCCAGAAGGTTGAGAACTTTATTGAAGAAATTGGTATCTGCACCACATTTTGCTAAGAGGCAGTGTAGATAAGTTGGAAATGAAAGTACTTTTGTTGGAAATAGATGAAATTAATTGTGGAAGAGGATGTAATCATCCAAAGTCAATTCTTGATAGTTGTCACAGTTCAGTAGTTTGTCTGAGAAAAAGAAAAATATAGTTCACAAATATTATTTTAGGTGTGTACATCTATCCTACGTTCTCTAGACCCTACTCGTGGGATTATTCTGCGAATGTTGTTGTTGAGTGTAGGTCAGAAGTCCAGTTTTATTGGTTCACACAGTATGAAACATAATGCTATATGATTGAAGATTAGAAGTGCTGTATGATGACTGGTTGAATTATTTCTGTCATCTGTTGTTTTCTACTCAAAGGTATCGGTTTATTATTACAACTCAACTTGTATATCGTCAGAGCTAGAGGTTTAACTGAACTTAATATTTTTCACATATAGGGGTCAATATATGTGAAGAATCACAATATGTACACAAATATTTGAGTCTGATGAGTTCACTTCTAAGATCTTTAAAAGTCGAAACCATTAAGTTTAAATCCTGGATTTCAGTACATTCAACTCATGCTAGAACTGCAATTATACTTTCACAAACTTGCAGTTTTACTTGTATATCTAAACATCAACATACAAGTTTGTCTTCATACAACGACATAACGAAAGGGAGAAGTTTCTCATCACATCATTCCATTTCTCTTGTAATTTTAGAGACCAGTAAACATTCGGAACTCTTACATCGCGATCATTGTTGGACCAACTAAATCAGTGTTCGTTGTCCCCCTTGTTAATGGGTACAAGCTTGGTGAAAAGGGAAGAAAACACAATACAAAGTAAATTGGCAAACAAAATGAGCAGTATATTAACATATATGTGATGTACTATTGAACAAGATCCTTGATAAGTCATTCTGTATCCTTTAACAAATTGTTAATCATAGTAACCAAAGGAAAAGTTCCTTTGGTCATTATCTCTAATCTAGAAGTATTTGAAGCATGAGAGAAAAGGGATAGACCGAAAAACATGAGTTCAGGAAGAAACAGCCGAGATGACAAGAAACCATGCCAATAACGAGGTTCTAGATCAAAAAAGGCATCGAAAAACCTTCTTGTAGCGGATAAATCAAGCTTCAGAAGAATATCCATACCAAAGCAAAAGAATTCTCTTTGACGTCTCCTTTCTATGGGCCACAAATCTTTCCAAACAGATGCCGATAACTCATTACCTAGATGGTCCTTATCAGAACCAAGGTACTGAACTATTGCATTAGCAACGACAGGAGCTGCAGCTAGTGTCCTTGCTACCATATAACCCGTAGAAGGATGAACCATACCAGCAGTACCACCAATTCCAACTACCCTCTGAGGTATTACTGGAAGGGGGCCTCCCATTGGGATCACACACTGCTCATCTTCTTCAATGCTCGTAACTTTTATACCCAAGTGACTCAAACGAGCCACCATTCGTTCTTGTATATCATCCATACGTAATCCAGGACGAGCTACAAGGGAGGTTTCTTCAAGAAATATTCTGTTTGATGAAAATGGCATGGCATAGAGAAAAGTTGGAACTTTTCTGTTCCTCTCTTTCAGCTTCACATTGTTATTAAGATGGGAATCTCGCCAATCCATAAAAAGCATCTTACTTGTATCGAAGGGATGTTCCTCCACTTGTGCCAATATGCCATAAGCGACTTGATACCCAGGATTATATGGCTTATCATACTGAACAAGACATCTAGAGAATCCCGTCGCATCAAGAACCACTGTTGCCTGAATAGTCACACCATCACTGCAAATCAGCATAGATTTAGCTTCCTCATGAATTACCTTTATAACTTTTGCTTGGTGAAATTTAACACCATTTAGTATGCATTTCTGCATCATTTTCGACTTAAGCTGTTTCCTATTAACCCTTCCATAAGGTCTATCAAGATTCTTAGTTTTATCATCATCGACATAAACAACAGCACCTGACCATGTCGCATCAAGGCAATCCAACAAATCCATGGCCTCAAATTCATCCACCCAAACACCATAGTTGTTAGGCCATATCAATTTAGGGGACGGGTCAATCGAGCAAACCGATAACCCAGCCTCCGAAACCTGCTGTGCAACAGCAAGCCCAGCAGGTCCACCACCAACCACAGCTAGATCTACAACAAGCCCTTTTGAAGGGTCATACATAGGAAGCTCAAAATCAAGATTTTCCTTCTTTATCTCAGGTACAAGCTCCAAAAGAGTACTACTCCTAGCTTTAACACAAACCCCTCTTCCCCAATTCTCACAAAATTTTCTAAAACCAAGCTTCAGAGGCTTTACAGAGCTAAAGGAGCTACCTTTAACAGCAAATCCATGAAAGGGTTGTAGAAATTCAAGCTTATTTGGGGTTTTCAACAATGTATCCATATTTTCAAACAAGGGTTCAAAGGTTTCTTGAACTTACAAACAGAAGTTCCCTAATTTTTCAATTCTGAACATCAAACTAGAACCAATAGTTTATCTAATAATCTGTAAAATGAAAAGGGTCTTTAGAAATTTTCTCAAGATTTGCCATATAAAAAAGAATTACAAATTTATAATTTACATAAGCTAAATACTGGAGTAAGTGCTCACCATGAAGACACCTAGGTCACATCAAGAAATCTCTTCCTTTTGTTGTTATAAAAATTTACAGCTAAATTCTGGTCCTGGTAAAGGATATGCTTGTGGTGAACATGAGTATGGCCTTTGAATTGAAAAAAAAAAAAAAGTTTCTATCTTTTTCAATTAGTATTTTGGTGTGGGGACCTTATTTTTAATTGAATTTTTGGAAATTGGATATGAATTATATTTAAGGTAAAATAAGGAGTAATATTAATTATTATTTTCAACTTCAGATGTATACAAGGACTCTGGTCCCATTTTTTCCCTAAAACCATAAAAAAACTTTAAAGAAATAGTATTTCCACCTTTCATTTTTTTTCTTCATCACTTCTCAGTCCACAGTTTCCATTAAACCTCATCAAAACCCCATCAAAACGACACCGTTCAAATGCTCCGTTCCTTCGCTTCCAAACGCTCTCTTCAATCCCTTCTCCACCACCACTACCGCCGCTGCCGTCAGAATCCTCAATTCCCAATCTTCAATCCCCGTCCCTTTTCTTCATCGCCGGGACCGCCGTCTTCCGACGCCGAGCTCCGGAAATACATCGGATACACACTTCTCCTCTTAGGTTCTGCTGCCGCCACGTATTATTCCTTTCCATTCTCGGAAGACGCGAGAGACAAAAAAGCTCAGCTATTTCGGTATGCTCCGTTGCCGGATGATCTTCATACTGTGTCTAATTGGAGTGGGACTCATGAGGTTCGGACTCGCACTTTCTTGCAACCCGAGTCAGTGGAGGAGCTTGAAGGGATAGTGAAAGAAGCGAATGTGAGGAAGCATAAGATCCGGCCGGTTGGGTCGGGTTTGTCGCCGAATGGGATTGGGTTAACACGAGCTGGGATGGTGAATTTGGCGTTAATGGATAAGGTTTTGAGTGTGGATAAGGAGAATAAAAGGGTTACTGTTCAAGCTGGGATTCGAGTTCAGCAGCTTGTGGATGAGATTAAGGAGTTTGGGATTACTCTTCAGAACTTTGCTTCCATAAGAGAACAACAGATTGGTGGCATTGTTCAGGTGATTGATTGATTTATTCCTGGATGTTTTAAACAACTTATCATGTCGATTTCTTGTGGATTACTCCTCTGGTTCAATTTGTTTGTCTTAAAGAATGCATCTTTACTCTGAGAATTTCAACTTTTCACCTGTTTAAGACCATGGTTCATTCTACATATCTTTAGTTTAGGAACACAAGATTTGAAAGTTTTGTACTTTCTGACACTATGTCAAGTCAAAACCCGATGAACAAATTGAAATGGAGGGAGTGGTTAATTTAATAGATAAAAGTGAAGTGATAGATAATTAGAGGGCTAACTAAAATACATAGTGTTTCCATTCCAAATTTCTCCCATATATGTGGTATTAATTAATTGGGATTTAGGTTCATGTTGACAAGCTCACATGAAGTGATTAGGTCCAATGATTGCCAGAATTCATTTTAGTCTCGCTAGAAATTTGTATGCCAGTCAACATTGTATAAGCCTTTTCTTGAAATGAAATGGAGCAGAAAACGTTTGAACTTGTATTGTTAGGGAACATGAATTATTGAATATTGTAATGAAACGGGTACAAATGGCCAATGGGAAAATTCATATAGCCTTATTGATGAGAGGTTGGCTGGTTATTCCTGTGCTTTATACTTCTAAACGAATTTTTTAGTTCTTAGAGAAGACTACGTATAGTGTGCGAATTCATTTCACTCTTAATTTGAGTTATTTCAAGTTTCTACATTTGTCTTAATTCTCATCTCCCATTTAAACTAGGATACTTGACTGAGGAGTGAGAATTTTTTAGGCTGGGGTATATGTTAATCATGCTTTGCCTTTTTTGTGCTAGTGCTGAAATTTTATTTGTGGCCTATACATGTATAATTATGCCTTCTCTAGGTTTACAATTCAAATAGAGTTCCAAAGACCGTTTGAGGCCTGGTAGACTACATTTGCATAGTGGAAACACTTCAGCTAGGAGAATTGCTGGATGCTTTTGATTTTACCCAAAAAAATAATACTGGAAGCTTTTGAGGGAGAAGTTGTCCCTGTGTATAGATGATAACTTAGCTGTATACTAACTGTTTTGCGATGGCCAGAAAGTTGTCTCTAGATTTGGTGACATGATGAGTTTTGTGGAAAGTTTATGTATGTACTCTGTACACTTTACTTTCTTGATGTACATCTACCCATGTAAATAAAAACCTTACTTTTGCATGATCAATCAAAGAAAAAATGTGCAGGCTGATTCTGTTTCATTACATGTTGTGTTTCAAGGACAACATCTGCTTTTTGCTACCTGTTTGAAGTTTCTACATTATTCCGACTTGCAGTTGCTTGATATATTGATTTGTCAGATGTATGTTTCTCTTTTGAGGATTGGTTGGGGAAATTCTAAAGCTTTTGTTCCTTTGAATTCAAAATTGTTAGGTTGGTGCCCATGGCACTGGTGCCAGGTTGCCTCCAATTGATGAACAAGTCATAAGCATGAAAGTGGTTACCCCTGCCAAAGGCACAATAGAAATTTCAAAAGAGAAAGATCCAGAACTCTTTTATCTAGCTCGATGTGGACTTGGGGGACTTGGTGTGGTTGCAGAAGTCACTCTTCAGTGTGTTGAGAGGCAGGAGCTTGTAGAACATACATTCCTGTCTAACATGAAAGATATCAAGAAAAATCACAAGTAAATATTTGCTTTTTTTTTTTAGTGAATTCTTTTCCCTTTTGGGAAGCTCTCATAGTTGTTACATTAGACCTTCTTGGAGGGTTTCTTTTATAAAGAGCTTGTTACCTGTTAATATTAATGTATCCAAGCTAGCGATTTGCAATCATCCCAAAACCCAGCACAAGGGATCTCATTGAAAGGAATTTAGGCTTCGTTGGTATTATTGTGAGAGACATATGCTTGTGTATTTGTGATTAGTGAAACAAGGATTGCTCATAAAAAAGGAAAAGAAAGTATTTTCTTTGTCCCATTTTATGCGTCACATTTTCCTTTTTAGTTTGTCCCAAAAAGAATGACATCTTTCTATATTTTGAAATATTTGACTTTAAACTTCCCATATTCTACGTCAATTCGAGCTTGCTTGATCTTAGTTCCACAAATCTCACTGCACTGACCATGATAAACTCCTATTCATTCAACTCCTTCCAATAGATACTTCTCGAACTCCCCATCAACTGTGAATTTCAACATCCATTTTTCTTTTCTTTTTTTTTAATTGATACGGATAATAGCTTGACCACCTGTCAGTTTTTCAAGTTGATAAAGAAGTTAAGGCTAATGACATCAGCCAATACCCATCAACATCCATTTTTCTATTCTTTTGATTGTCTTGCTGCTCATTCAGCACTTACAACTAGAGCTATATGCTCTAATTTTTTGCTTTGATGATGAAGTGAATTATATAGATTTGAACTCAGAAGATGCACAATAATACACATCTTTGTTGCATCCAATGGTGTGACCTAGTGGTCAATGAAGTGGGTTGAGAACCATGAGATCTCAGGTTCAAAATTCCTAAAGAAGAAAATATTAGGGGATTTCTTCTCATCAGTCTTGGAACTCGGTAGACAGATTTACCTAGAACTGTGTTTGGGGGAGGTAGCAGATACCTTATAAAATTAGTTGAGGTGTGGGAAGGCTGGCCACGACACAGCAAGTATTCGAAATAATAATAATTATGCTACTCTATCTCAGTTGTGGGATTACACCGGGTATGTTGTTGCTACTCTATCTCATTAGTATCTTCTGTATTTGTGGGCAAAAACATTTGAGAGAGGACGGAACTTAAATAGTGAGAGAGAAATAAAATGTTGGAGAAGAGAAGAGATGAAAGAGAGTAAATATAAGTGGTAGGGTAGTTGCTAAAAGTAATGATGAGAATATAGAGTGAGAGTTCTAGTCCCTTGTAGATGAACAATTTATTTATCTCATATTGCGCACTGATTGGTGCATCTTTGTAGACTGTTGTAGACAAAATCCAGTATAAAACAACTTCTAGAAATGTCTTGTAAAAGTAAAACAACTTGCTAGTAATTGTTGATAACCCATGTACCCTTTCAAACTGCAGTATTGAGAAAATCTAGGTATCTCAGTTAAATCTCATCTAGTGTTTCCTGGACTTGAATGGAAGCTGACCTGTGGTTGCTCCAATAGAGTTTATCTTGCCTTCTCGGTTTTATCAACTTTAAGTGTACTTCTAGCCTACCCTGGAATGTAGTTGAAGTTTTTTGCACTTTCTAATGTTAATGCTGATGATCCGTTGCACCTATAAATATGTTGTCATGGCAGTTTGTTGTTAATGATGATGCATGCTTCACATAGCATGGTGAAGCACCTACATTCACTTAATGTCCTTTGCTTGTGAAATAATGCCACTAACTGTCGTTACTTCAGGAAATTCCTATCCGAGAACAAGCATGTCAAATACTTGTACATTCCGTATACTGATGCCGTTGTGGTTGTGACATGCAATCCTATGTCTAAGGAGAAAGGTCCACCAAAGAACAAACCTAAATATACTGCAGAAGAAGCCTTGCAGCATGTCCGAGATCTCTATTTGGAGTCGTTGACTAAGTACAGGTATGGTGGCATTGAACTAGCCTGTAAAACCATATTTCAGAACATCTTTTTCCTGGCGTTTCTGCATGTTCTATTGTTGGACGAACTTGCTCATGTAGTATCAGCTATTTTTGTATACTGAGCCCCATTATGCAGTTGACCTTTTTCTGAAAGGGGATTAGCGAAATAATATACTTTGATGGGCTAATTTAAGGCAATTGTAAAGATTAAGACACTTGCAGTAATGATATGTTCTGGAACATATTTATAAATTTGCAAGAATTTGAATTTACTTAGCTTTTACTTTTATAGCCTCACTTGTAAGGTTGTGCTTAACGGAACTAACATTTCAATCCCTTCATTAAAATTGTGATCTTGTATCATACTTATTCATCATTAGCAGATGAATACAAGTAACAGAGGAAAACAACTCTAAATTAGTTTAGAAATTTGTTTGATAAGCAAAAGATCACAAATAATTCAGTATGACTTGTATAATTGACAAAGTGTAGTCTAATTTTTTCCACATAAAAAAGATGTTGTCTATAAACTATCGGAGAAATGCTGAAGATTCTATGTTTCAATTTTTCGATATAAT